TATTATTCATTTCAAAATAAGAAAGATTAATATAATAATATAGCAGAGATTCTGAGAAGAATTTCGATTCATCTATTTATCTATCTATACATATATATATATAAATAAAAGACGAAAAAGACGATTCTTAGTTGCATCAAAACAAAATATCATTTATATTAATATCATATATTTCCACCACGGCTACCGGTACAAGATCTCAAGTTAAAAAATATAATAAAAAATTACTACCATATACCATTATTACTAATCCATTATCTCATATAATTGCAACAACTAATTCAATTGTTAATCCAACATTTAATACACAAACAATGGCTGATCAAACATTATTAGCAAAAGCTCGAAAAGCTCGATTTGATGATTTACCAAATTTTTCAGGACATCCTTCTGAGGATGTCGAACGATTTTTAAAATGTATTAAAAATATTACAAAAGCCAATGCTGAATCAGAAAATAAAGAAATTCTTGAAATTGTACGTGGTAAATTAACCCAATCAGCAGGCTTATGGTTTGATAACAATGAACATAATTTTAAAAAATGGTCAGATTTCGAAGTTCAATTTCGAAATCGTTATTTTTCAACAACAATGATTCATAAAAAGTTTGATCAATGAAAGCAATGACAACAATTACATAATGAACCTGTTACTGCTTATATTGATGATATCATTAATTTATGTCGTGAAATTGATCCAACTATGTCAGATTCAAGTATTATTCAACATCTGATGAGTGGTATTAATCCTGATTTTAAAAAAGAAATTTCTCAGCATGAATCATGTTTATATAACTTAAATGAATTTTTAAAATATGCCAAAATTGAACAAGATTTACATGATACTTTTGATAGATCTCAACAATTATCATTCGAATATACACAACAAAATGTTTTAAATAATTATCGACCATTTACCTCAGTTACAACTACAGTTAAACAACCTAGACAACAATATCAATTTATGAAACAAAACAAATTTTTATCACATACAATACCCACACAGAGCTCCGTTATTAATCGGAACTCGAACTACCAACCAGCACTTCAATCAACATATGTACCTGACAAACAAATTTATACTAATTCACAAGAAAAGATATTCACGAATAAATATACTAATAATCAACCAGCCTCACAACAACAACATGATTATTGTAAAGTTTGTGGTCGCAGAAATCACCGATCGCATGATTGTTACTACAAACGTACAACCGGATGTTTTAATTGTGGTCAAAATCATCATATCCGAAGTTGTACAATGTCTCCACATTTTCAATAACTGGGTCACATGATGGCGGTGTTCCCAGTCAATGTATTCAGCCATCAACAACAACATCTTCTCCCGTTTATATCAAGATTCGTGTTAACAATCAACCAACTGAAGCAATTGTTGATACCGGTTCCGCCATCTCAATCATTCATGCAAATTTTCTCAAAACTATTCATCATGAACATTTTATTTATAACAATTATATATGTCAAACAGCAAATTCAACACCACTTAATATAATCGGTCAAATTAAATTAGAACTAAGACTTAAATCAACAACAACATACGTCATCGCTCATGTGGCAACAAATTTAATTACATCTGTATTATTAGGTAATGACTGGATTAATTCAAATCATGTTCATCTATTTGGTGATCAACAACAACTGACTATTCCTGATCAACGTGATCAATTAATATCGATTTCATACGTAGCACCTACATCTATTAACTATCCAGCATTATTAATTGATCAAATCACTCTTCCACCATACTCACAAATATTAGTTGATATTTCATGTGAAATTAATAATGATCATAATCTGATATTTGAACCATATTCAAACTATGCCTCAAAATTTATTTTTATACCACATACATTATTAAATATCAACAATCATAAAGCTAAAATATTACTAATCAATGCTCAGAATCAACAAACAATATTACCAAGAAATACACGAATCGGAACTCTTTCTCGTCCCTCAACTTACACAATATGTTTTAGTACATCAAATCCAACAAAACAAAATTCATCTTTCAATAAATATAATCAATCAACATCCAGTAATTCAAGCAAATTAAAATATAGAGCTGTCACAAATAAAAATGACAACTCGGAAGAAGAAAAATTAGATATTATTTGTGACAATTGCAATGAATATTTTCTATCTGGTAATGATTTACAAAAACATTTACGAGCAAAATGCTACTCTGATGAAATTCGTCAAAAGATATTCGATTTAACAAAACATATAGGAAATGAAAAAAACCGTTCGAAAATTGAAGATATATTATGGCATAATAAAATTCTATTCGATCCTACACCATCCATTATTAACATTCCACCACAATCAGCAATCAAGACAGGTGATCATCCACCTATTTACTCAAAACAATATTCGTCTTCTTTAAAAGATCAAGATATTAAATTTCAAGAAACACAAAAATTATTAGAACGTGGTCAAATTGAAGAATCAACTTCTCCATGGTCATCACCTATTGTTCTTGTTAAGAAAAAAGACAAAACAATGCGATTTTGCATTGATTATCGACGATTAAATACTATTACAATTAAGGATGCATTTCCATTACCCCGTATTGATGAAATTTTTGATCAATTATCCGATGCAATGTATTACACAAAATTTGATTTTAAATCTGGTTATTTCCAGGTACCTCTATCTAAAGAGGACCGACCTAAAACTGCATTTTCAACTCGTGATAATCATTATCAATTTACTGTCTTACCTCAAGGAATTACAAATGGACCAGCAACATTTCAACGTGTAATAAATCATATATTAGGGCCTGCGAGATGGAAATATGCATTAGCGTATATCGATGATGTAATTATTTTTTCGAAAACATTTGAAGAACATTTAATACACCTTAATGATATTTGTACAATATTAAAAAAAGCTCGATTTCGTCTGAATCCAGACAAATGTGAAATTGCTCAGACTGAAACAGATTACCTTGGGCATAATATAAGAAATGGTGAAATTCGTCCAAGTTCTCATTATATTAATGGTTTATTAAATACCAGATTACCACAAACTGCAGATGAAGCTTGTAAATTTGTTAAAGCAGCTGAATATTATCGCAAATTTATTCCCAATTTTTCTCAAATCGCTGAACCACTTAGGAAATTTGTTCCAACTACAAGAACTCAACAAAAGAAAGGACAAAAAACAATGATTACATTAACACAAGATGAACTTAAAGCATTCGAACAACTTAAACATTTTCTTACAACTGACTTAGTGTTACGATTACCGAACAATAGATTCCCTTTCAAGGTTCAAACAGATGCTTCGGATGAGGGAATCGGTGCAGTATTATTACAAATTTATCCAGATGGTGATAGACCAATTGCATATCTTTCGAAGAAATTTACACAAGCACAACGCAAATGGTCTCCAATGGAACAAGAATGTTACGCATTTATATGTGCATTAGATAAATGGCATAATTATTTAAGTGGAATTCAATTTACTTGGGAAACTGATCACAAAGCATTAACACAATTAAACCAAAAAGCTCAAATTAACAAACGATGCGAGAGATGGAGATTGAAAATTTTAGAATATGATTTCAAGGTGAAATACATTCCAGGCTTAACAAATTCTATGCCCGATTATCTATCAAGATCTCCCGTTGAAGATGCTGAAGAAGATCCTGATGAAACCTCACATCTTCATTCCAAATCAACACAAACTGACATTTTATATGATAACCAACATTCATCCATCATCGCAGCTATTGAAACTCGTGCTATGAAATTACGAAATAATACTTTAAATGAACTTTCAAATACAACAAAATTAACATCAGATTCTCTACATAATTCTATTCAAGAGAATCGCACTACTCCATTTTCAATTGAAGAATTAATTCAAGCTCAACAAAATGATACTTATGCAAAAAATATTTTTAATAATATCAAGAAATACAAACATTATATTATAAAAGACAATATCTTGATGCGTCGATCTAAAACTCCAGTTCCATATGTACCACAAGGTGATTTTCGACGAACAATTTTACAAATATATCATGATACAGCAGCCAATGGTGCTCACTTTGGAAGAAATAAAACAATACATAAAATTAAACAACGTTATTTTTGGCCATCAATGTACAAGGATATTAATAATTATATCAAATCATGTATCCCATGTGCACAATTTAATCCTCGTCGACAAAAAACTCCGGGTACTTTACAACCAATACAACCACCTGATGGAGTATGGCAATTAGTAGCTATGGATTTTCATGGACCTATTACACCAATATCTCAACGCGGCAATAAATATATCATATCTCTTACCGATGTTTTATCCAAATTCGTTGTTACCAAAGCTGTACGTGATAATACAGCTCAAACAGCTGTTAGATTTCTTAAAGAAGACGTTATCGCAAAATTTGGAACCCCTCGATGTCTTCTTACTGACAATGGAACACATTTTACATCAACATTAATGAATGAATTATGTAAACAAATTGGTATCACACACTTGTATTCAACACCATACCATCCTCAAACTAATGGTCAAGTTGAAAGATATAATTCAACTATGGACGCAAAAATTGCAGCATTATCAAATTTTAAGAAAACTGATTGGGATGATCAATTACCATTTGTTACATTTAATTATAATGCTACAATTCATTCAACTACAAAACAAATACCATTCCAAATGATGTACGGACGATTACCAACATTACCCTTCGATTATCAAGCCGATAACGTCACATTATCATATGATGCTGAACATACCATCAAACTCAAAAATTTTTTGTCAAAATTAAATGAACAAGCCAAATTAAATATTCTAAGGAATCAAGCTCGATATAAACAACATTATGATATTCATCGTTCTGATCCCTCATATAATATTGGTGATTTAGTTCTTGTTAAAACACTCAACACCCGTCACAAATTCGATATTCTTTATGAAGGACCATTCAGAATTATCAAACAATTGACACGAAAAACATTCATTCTTCAACACGTCAAGAAACCAACTTTACATCGTCAAGTTACATCAGACGTGTTATTACCAATATTTAAACGTATTTATTAGATTTTAAGGACCTCTTCAATGAGATCCGTACCATAATTATATCTCAACATTAAATGGAATTATTAATTCGGATTAAATTTATACAATTAATTATTCTATGATACGAAATTTATTTATTGAATGTATTTAACATTCAATCAATCTTCATAGATCCTCTTTATGGGCCCTGAGAATCGAGAAGAACTTTTTTCGTACATCAATTCTATTGAGATATAAAATAACTACATCTATTATATATATATAATTCATCATTATTTTTATTTGTCCTGAAATTATTATATTTATGAAAAAATTATATCACTTATTTTCACTGATTCTTTTCCCTTTGAGAATCGAATTTTTTACACCTTAGATTCATTTTTTTATGAATCGCTATTTAATATAATTACAATTTAACTTTCTATTCTAGTCATGTTATCACAACGAGAGTACGAAAAGCTTAAATGGCAATTAAAGAATATTCCATCAACAATTAAAGGACGTCCACGACAAAATCTTCGAACAACACTCCGAAAAAAAATACACGAACATGAATTAGCATCAACATATCCAACATTTACACCATCAAATTTCCAACAATTTTTTATAAATTTTCAAACAACTGATTTAACACTTCTTCATCTTATTGAAGCTTGTGCAGCTTCAACAAATTTTATTTTGGATACAGAATCAGTTGGTATTTATCGAGGTCCAAACAAACCCGCACTTATTCAGATTCAAATCATATTACCAACTTCGATTTCTTATGTATTGATCATTGAAGTTTGTCATTTACCACCTATCCATGAAACAACATTCCAACTTATTAAACAATTTTTTACAACATTGTTTTCTTCAGGAAAAACAATTTATATTTGGGGAGAAATTGATGAATTAAATGATTTTACTACAACTGGACTATTTACTCTTGATCAAATTAAACTATCAAATAATAACAATTTTCAAGATGAATTTAAAGATTATTGGACCAAGAAACATTCTCATCAAACACGATCTCAACGTTCAACAAATGAATTACCATGTCAATGTGAATCATGTTTAGGCATTAATCCAACTGATACATGGTCTTTACAAAATGCCGTCGCATATGAACTTCATCAATGGTTAGATAAACGTTTTACTCGTTCAAGTTTTGATATCGGTCTTGATCCACAATTATATCATTTTAATACAAATGAAATCGAACATCGTACACAACTTACTCGTTACGCTATATATGATTGTTTATCAATTTATCAATTATTACTTAAATTGAACTTAATCAACAATCCACATCAATTGAAGAAAATATAATTGAACAACAACCAACAATCATTGATGTTGAACAGATTTCATCAGATGAATCAGAACCTGAACGTGAACCTCAACAATACAACTTATTATCGGAAGAAGAACGTAAACGAATACACAATCGTTCATGTACACTGAAACAAAGAAAACGTTATTATCAAAATAAAATTATAATTAATAATATTGACCGTCGTTTTAAAATCAAACAAATAAAAGCTATTATTCGATCTTACGACGTTCCATTCTTTGCCGTTAATTTTTCAACATCATCGACAACAAGACAACGATCATTACACATCGGCATACGAGATTTATCACAAATTGAACATTGTCATAATTGTATAAAACATTTATTTACAACATCTCATTTTAATGAATTTATATCTAGTCAACGAAATAGATCATCTTATAAAGATGATCGAACAAGGAGATCGGAATGATATATAAACAAAACACAAAAAATCAATAAATAAATCAACAACTAACCTCAATCTTATATTTTTGTTTCGTTTTTGTTTTGTTCAGATACTAAACTATCATTTTGTCTTTCATTGTTCCTTATCTTTACATATCATACAACTTGTTGATCTCATTTAAAAAAAACTGTGATTTTTGTTCTATTGTTTTCTTTTCATTTTCGAAAAAACCGTTAAATTACTTTGTCATTTTTTCATATATAACATTTCGTTCATTTCATTATATTAGTCATGTTGTTACTGTTTAAAAAAAAAAAAACTGATAGTACACCTTTTTCGTTCAATGGGGAGAATGTTACGGTGATGTCGCACCTATACATATTTCTCTAGTATATTCCTCCTCTTTGATCTCTTCCATCGTTCTATGATTTTCATTTGTTATCTTTGTTTACTTTCGTTTTCTTATATATATGTGTTTTCTGTTCGATATATATATATGGATATTCTAACCTGGATATTCAGAATAAAAGTTAAGTACATTTCGATCAGTACATATTAACATCTTACATAAAGACCTAACAAAGAGGAATAGAAAATACCACCAACCGACACGTAAAGTGGCGCTTT